TACACACCCTAACCTGAGCCTCACTATCCTCATAAAAACTCTTTACAGCATTTAGTAACTTACCACCTATTCCATATACTTGCAACATCTGCCACATTGCTCCTCTATCCACTCTATCATATGCCTTTTCTAAATCCATAAGAACATAAGAACATAAGAAAGGAGGAACACTGCAGGAGGCCTGCTGGCCCATACTAGGCAGGTCCTTTACAATTCATCCCACTAACAAAACATTTGCCCAACCCAATTTTCAATGCCACCCAAGAAATAAGCTCTGATGTGAAAGTCCCACTCAAATCCAACCCCTCCCACTCATGTACTTATCCAACCTAGATTTGAAACTACCCAAAGTCCTAGCCTCAATAACCCAACTAGGTAGACTGTTCCACTCATCAACTACCCTATTTCCAAACCAATACTTTCCTATGTCCTTTCTAAATCTAAACTTATCTAATTTAAATCCATTACTGCGCGTTTCTCTTGGAGAGACATCCTCAGACCTTATTAATATCCCCTTTATTAATACCTTCTTCCACTTATACACTTCGATCAGTCTCCCCTCATTCTTCGTCCTAACAAGTGAATGTAACTTAAGAGTCTTCAATCTTTCTTCATAAGGAAGATTTCTGATGCTATGTATTAATTTAGTCATCCTACGCTGAATGTTTTCTAACGATTTTTGTCCATTTTGTAATACGGAGACCAGAACTGAGCTGCAAAATTTCAAGGTGAGGCCTTACTAATGTTGTTTTAAAGCTGCAGTATGACCTCTGGACTTCTGTTGCTTACACTTTTTGATATAAATCCCAGTAATCTATTTGCCTTATTACGTACGCTTAGGCATTGCTGTTTTGGGTTTTAAGGTTGCTGTCACCATAACCCCCAAGTCCTTTTCGCAATCTGTATGGCTAAGTTCTACATCTTTTAAATTTTTAAAGTACTAGGGTTATGGGCACTCCCAAGCTTCAGAAACCTTGCATTTACTACATTGAACTGCATTCTGCCACTTTTCTGACCAAGAATAGAGTTTGTTTAAATCCTCCTGAAGTTCCCTAACATCTACGTTTGAATCAATTATCCTACCTATCTTTGTGTCATCGGCAAATTTTTGCTCATATCACTAGTAATTCCCTCATCAAGATCATTGTAAAATTATAAACAAAAAACGGGCCCAAGACTGATCCCTGGGAACGCCACTTGTTACAGATTCCCCACTCGGATTTAACCCCATTTATGGACACTCTCTGCTTCTGTCAGTGAGCCATGACTCGATCCACGAGAGCACTTTTCCCCCAATGCCATGAGCTGCCACTTTTTTTTAAACAGTCTAGGGTGCGGAACTCTATCAAAACCCTTACTAAAATCTAAGTAAATAATATCAAATTCTTTATTGTGGTCAACAGCCTCAAAAGCTTTACTGAAGAAAGTTAATAAATTAGTTAGACAAGACCGGCCTCTTGTGAATCCATGCTGAGTATTTTTAATCAAGCTATGCTTATCGAGATGGCTTCTTATAATCTCAGCTATAATTGACTCTAGTAATTTGCCTACAATTGAGGTCAGGCTTTTTGGGGGGTAATTTGACGGTAACGACTTGTCCCCTGTTTTAAAAATAGGAGTTACATTAGCCATCTTCCACATATCAGGGCACTACACCTGTTTGAAGAGATAAATTAAAAAAATATTTTAATGGTTTACAGAGTTCCATTTTGCATTCCCTTTAAAAAACCCTTTAAAAAACCTCAATCAGGACCCGGCGACTTATTTTGCTTCAGTCTGTCTATCTGCCTCACAACCATCTCACTAGTGACTGTGATGTTACATAATTTATCTACTTCTAGCCCCCTGTAAAAATTAATTACTGGAATATTGTCAGTGTCTTCCTGTGTAAAAACTGAGAGAAAATAATTATTTAAAATCAAGCACATTCATTCTCATTTTCAGTAAGGTGCCATAGTTATTTTTTAAGGGGGCCTATCTTATCTCTAACTTTTGTTCTATAGACCTGGAAAAAACTTTTTGGGTTAGTTTTAGAAACCCTAGCAACTTTAATTTCTAGTCCCTTTTAGCTTTTCTTATCCCCTTTTTAATGTCCCTCTCAATGTCAATATACTGATTCATAAGATGACCCTCACCTCTTTTGATACGCCTATAAATTCCTCTTCTTATGCCCTAGTAGTATTTGAGCCTATTATTCATCCTTTTGGGTCATTTCTATTTGATCTAATTTCCTTATATGGGATAAACGCTCTTTGAGCAGCATGTATAGTGTTCAGAAAACTGTCATATTGATAGCTCTCTTCGTTACCCCAGTCAACAGATGATAAGTATTCTCTAAGCCCATCGTAATCTGCTAAGCGAAAATCTGGGACTGTTACTGAGTTATCGCTACTATCGTACTTCCATTCAATGCTAAATGTAATTGATTTGTGGTCGCTAGCACCCAGTTCCTCTGAAATTTCTAAATTATTAACAAGGGATTCATTGTTTGCCATAACTAAGTCAAGCAGGTTATTTCCCTTGTAGGTTCTGTCACAAACTGCTTCAAAAACAATCCTGAAATACTTCTAAGAAGTCGTACGATTCTAAATTCCCAGTCAAGAAATTCCAATCAACATGACTAAAGTTAAAGTCTCCTAAAATTACTAACATTATCGTGCCTTGTGGCCTTAACAATTTCCTCCCATAGTAGTTTCCCTTGGTCCCTATCTAAGTTAGGGGGACGGTATATCACTCCTAAAATCAGTTTTTCATGCCCCTCTGAAAATTCTATCCAAACAGACTCTGTATGTGTTACTTCAGACTTAATACCCGTTTTTATGCAACAGTTCAAGCGATCTCGGACATACAATGCCACCCCACCCCCCCTCCCAATACTTCTATCTTCTTGGAACAATTTAAAACCCTGAATATGACATTCCGCAGGCATGTCCCGACTTTTTTAATTAAACCACGTCTCAGTTAAGGCAAATACATCAATGTTACCTACACTAGCAACTAATCTCAACTCGTCCATCTTATTCCTACCTTTATTTAAATACTGTTCACATATATGGTTCAATGTAAACACTTGATCTACACATCCCCTACCCACTCTGAAGCCTCCTTGCTCATCCGCAATCCTACATTCTGTCTTACCTCTAATTCTTTCAATAATAACCCTACCATACACTTTTCCTGGTATACTCAGTAAACTAATTCCTCTATAATTTTTACAATCTCTTTTGTCCCCCTTCCCTTTATATAAAGGGACTATACATGCTCTCCACCAATCCCTAAGTACCTTCCCCTCTTTCATACATTTATTAAACAAAAGTACAAACCACTCCAACACTATATCACCCCCTGCTTTTAACATTTCTGTCATGATCCCATCAGTTCCAGCTGCTTTACCCCCTTTCATTCTACGTAATGCCTCACGTATCTCCACCACACTTACATTCTGCTCTTCTTCACTCCTAAAAGATGGTATACCTCCCTGACCAGTGCATGAAATTACCGCCTCCCTTTCTTCCTCAACATTTAAAAGTTCCTCAAAATATTCTCGCCATCTACCTAATACCTCCCTCTCCCCATCTACTAACTCCCCTACTCTGTTTTTAACTGACAAATCCATATGTTCCCTTGGCTTTCTTTACTTGTTTAACTCCAAATTTTTTTTCTTATTTGCACTAGCCCACCTTTCTGCCAATAGTCGCTTATATCTCACCCGAACTTCCTCCTCCCTTAGTTTATACACTTTCACCTCCCTCTTACTTGTTGTTGCCACCTTCCTCTTTTCCCATCTACCTCTTACTCTAACTGTAGCTACAACTAAATAATGATCCGATATATCAGTTGCCCCTCTATAAACATGTACATCCTGGAGCCTACCCATCAACCTTTTATCCACCAATACATAATTTAACAAACTACTTTCATTACGTGCTACATCATACCTTGTATATTTATTTATCCTCTTTTTCATAAAATATGTATTACTTATTACCAAATCTCTTTCTACACATAGCTCAATTAAAGGCTCCCCATTTACATTTACCCCTGGCACCCCAAATTTACCTACTACTCCCTCCATAACATTTTTACCCACTTTAGCATTGAAATCCCCAACCACCATTACTCTCACACTTGATTCAAAACTCCCCACGCATTCACTCAACATTTCCCAAAATCTCTCTCCTCTACACTTCTCTCTTCTCCAGGTGCATACACGCTTACAATAACCCACTTTTCACATCCAACCTTTATTTTACTCCACATAATCCTTGAATTTATGCATTTGTAGTCCCTCTTTTCCTGCCATAGCTTATCCTTCAACATTATTGCTACTCCTTCTTTAGCTCTAACTCGATTTGAAACCCCTGACCTAATCCCATTTATTCCTCTCCATTGAAACTCTCCCACCCTCTTCAGCTTTGTTTCACTTAAAGCCAGGACATCCAGCTTCTTCTCATTCATAACATCCACAATCATCTCTTTCTTATCCGCACAACATCCACGCACATTCAGACTTCCCACCTTGGCAATTTTCTTCTTATTCTTTTTAGTAACTATTACAGGAAAAGGGGTTACTAGCCCATTGTTCCCGGCATTTTAGTTGACTTTTACAACACGCATGGCTTACGGAGGAAAGATTCTTATTCCACTTCCCCATGGATATAGAAGGAAAAGTAATAAAACCAAGAACTATTAAGATAAAATCAAAGAAAACTCAGATGAGTGTGTATAAATAAACGTGTACATGTATGTGTAGTGTGACCTAAGTGTAAGTAGAAGTAGTAAGACGTACCTGAAATCTTGCATATTTATGAGACAGACAAAAGACACCAGCAATCCTACCATCATGTAAAACAATTACAGGCTTTCGTTTTACACTCACTTGTTACCTTCCTTCGTGTCGTTCGTCATGACGTTGCCAGTAGTCGACTCGCATTGTCTTCACCACTAGTACTACCATCACTGTTGTCTTCACCATCTTACCCCTTTTACTTGTCTGCCAGCAGGAAGCAGCAGCAGGATGAGCTGCATACCAGCGTGCAGAACCAGGGAGGAGGAAGCAGAGGACCTCCTTGCGAAACACTTGCCTCTTCTGGCCGAGGTGCAGCAGCCGCCCACAGTGACGCTTGATGAAATCATGAAGATGAGTGAACTATTTCCCGTACCTTTTCCAGCACACTCAGCCCGGCTCAAGACTTTGCTCAAGGCGAGTAAGAGTGTGGTGATAGCATATCACTTGACATGAGTTTCTTTAAGGGAAAAACCTGTCTAGGTGTGACATGTCTATGGGGAGATGGCAAGAGGGAATGTCAGGATATCTTATTAACCAAATTGTGTACATCAGCAGTGTGTTGATGTACACAGACAGCTGACCTCAGACAGCTGACCTCAGACAGCTGACCTCAGACAGCTGACCTCAGACAGCTGACCTCAACTCTCACATTCCACTAACAGCATGAGTTTTATACTCTCAAGCTGTCTTGATAAGGAAGACACATGCGCAGCAGTTAGGTATCTTCATTCCGAAACGTTTCGCCTGTACAGTAGGCTTCTTCAGTCGAGTACAGAGGCAGCAGTAGAGATGCAAAGACGATATAATCAGTCCATTACCCTTGAAGATGCAGTTTTGTGGTGGACAGTCCTTCATAGTCTGGAAGAACGTCTTCAAGAGTCAATTAATTACGTCTTATTTACATCTCTACTACTTCTGCTGCCTCCTTTGCACTCGATTGAAGAAGCCTACTGTGTAGGCGAAACGTTTCGGAATAAAGATACCTAACTGCTGCCTATGTGTCCTACTTATTAACGTGTCAATACTGTATACCAGTATCATATTTACTCTTCTCATAAACAGCAGTATATTAAAGCTAGACAAGCAAGTAGTCCAGGTTGTATTTAGGGAAATGAAGAGAAGGTAGCTTGCTGGCCCTGCTATGGCCAAACTGTAGGTCTGGCCATAGCAGGACATCCTTCTACTCAACATACAGAAGGATTCCCTGCTAGGGCCAGACCTACAGTGTGAAATTAGTTGTAATAAAGTTGGTAGAATTACCGACAATATGTAAAGTAAAAGGACACAAGTGCAACTAATGTGACATTTATTGTGGCAACGTTTCGCTCTCCAGGAGCTTTATCAAGCCAATGGCTTGATAAAGCTCCTGGAGAGCGAAACGTTGCCACAATAAATGTCACATTAGTTGCACTTGTGTCCTTTTACGTGAAATTAGTTGCAGAATGCGCAGGGTATCCTAAAACTCACAGGACAATGCACCTATGGCGTATAGAAATATACCTAATTGAATGATGCTCATTCAAGTCTTCCTGCCTAATGGTTAACGATTTCCCTACCATGGGTTTAAACCCTACCATCTCTGTGATTTGTTTGTAACTGTGTTATTACGGTTTCGTTAGGGTGTCATCTATACGTAGTAGGCTGAGGAACCAGATGCATGAAACACGGCCATGCCAAAATGTATAGATATATGTAGGAATATTAGAAGAGGAGGAACACTGCAGCAGATCCACTGGTCCATACTAGGCAGGTCTTTCTCAAGCCTAAACCCAAAAAAACAAAATTTTTAAATTTGTCCGGCCTTTTATCTCATGACATCTTCACAACACCGTTTATTTAAATAATTCTATAAATGGCTTTTCCTAAAGGCTGCAGAAAAAATATAGCAAACTATACCATCTACTAAAAGTCCCACAATATTGCTGAAGGTACGGAGGTAGTCTTCACCTTTTACGGACCCTAAAGTCAATAAGTCACTGCTATCTGTTTATCTGGAGTTTATCTGGAGAGAGTTCCGGGGGTCAACGCCCCCGCGGCCCGGTCTGTGACCAGGCCTCCTTAGGTCAGTGTCCCAGGATGCGACCCACACCAGTCGACTAACACCCAGGTACCCATTTTACTGATGGGGAACATAGACAACAGGTGGAAAGAAACACGTCCAATGTTTCTACTCTGGCTGGGAATCGAACCCAGGCCCTCACCGTGTGAAGCGAGAGCGTTAACCACCAGGCCACCATAGCTATGTATACCTGTCAAAGTTTCGGGGGTCAACGCCCCCGCGGTCAGGTCTGTTATCTAACCTCAGCTTATTTCGAAGCCCAGCCCTATCTGAGGTATACTACCGCCCACTTGGATGCTACCCACACCAGTTGGCTACTAGTACCCAGGTACCTGCTTACTGCTAGGTGAACAGTAGCAGCAGATATAAGGAGACATGGCCAACGTTTCCACCCGACCGGGAACTGTACCACGGACACTCGGCCTCTGAGGCATAACAACGAAACAGAGTACCTACCCAAAGTCGCAAGATGCCCCTGGTAAATGTTTTTATTGTCATCTTGGTCTCTGGACACTTCACCGTGGCACTTAAGACAAGAATATTGTCATCTTGGTCTCTGGACACTTCCCCGTGGCACTTAAGACAAGAATATTCATTGCAAAACCCAGCAGAGACGATCACAAACCGGAGAACTACAGACCTATTTCCTTACTGGTCCAGTGGCTAACGCGTCGGTCTGGAGTTTTGTGATTCTCTGATCGCGGGTTCTAACCCCACCCTTGGTACGGTTTGTTTGCAATCGTGTCATTACGATTTCGTGAGTCAAGTGACATTGTCCATTATTGTGTCCTTGATCATTCTGGTGTCTAGGTGTCCTGTAGCTCGATTGGTAGAGCACTCAACTCTCACACTGAGGTCCAGGGGTCGATCCCCGGTACGGCTGGAAAACATTAGGATGTGTTAAGACGACACCTGTCCATGTTCACCTAACAGTAAAATAGGTACCTGGGTGTCAATCAGCTGGTTTGGGTCGCATCCTGGGGACAAAATTTACTTAGTCTGCCCGAAATGCTGTCCATAACAAGGGGCTTTCCATATAGTATGTCAACTATTACTACCAGTATATGTACAAGGTATACCAGTACATGTACAAGGTATACCAGTACATGTACAAGGTATACAGACCATAGCTGACATCAATGACATACTACTATATAGAAAGACCTTTGTTATGCTGAGCATTTCCCGCAAATTAGGTCAGTTTTGTCCCAGGATGCGACCCACACCAGTCCACAACACCCAGGGGTGTGACCAACCATCCATAACCCCAGGATGTGACCCACACCCTCTACTAACACCCAGGGGGTGAGCACACCCCGTCTACTAATACCCAGGATGTCGCACACCAATCTATAACACCCCGGGTACGCACACCCGTTACTAGCACCCGGATGTGACCCCCACCAGTTTACTAACACCAAGGGTTTACCCACACCAGTCAAACCCCAGGATGTGACCCACACCATCTACTAAAACCCAGGATGTGACCCACACCCGTCCCCTAACACAAGGAGTGACGCACCCAGTCTACTAACACCCAGGATTGACCCACACCAATCCACGAACACCCAGGGTTGACGACACCATCTACTAACACCCCGGATGGACCCCCACCGCTACTAACACCCAGGATGTGACCCACACCATCCACGAAACCCAGGATGTGACCCCCACCACTATAAACCCCGGGGTGACCCACACCCGTCTACTAACACCAATGTACCCACACCAGTCCCCCCAACACCCCAGTGTCCCCACCAGTCACTAACACCCAGGATGTGACCCACACCAGTCTACTAACACCCAGGATGTGACCCACACCAGTCTACTAACACCCAGGATGTGACCCACACCCAGGATGTGACCCACACCAGTCTACTAACACCCAGGATGTGCCCCAAACACCGTCAAACAACACCCAGGATGTGACCCACACCAGTCTACTAACACCCAGGATGTGACCCACACCAGTCCACGAACACCCAGGATGTGACCCACACCAGTCCACTAACACCCAGGATGCCACCCACACCAGTCCACTAACACCCAGGATGCCACCCACACCAGTCCACTAACACCCAGGTATCCATTTTAAACTGATGGGTGAACAGGGACGGGGACAGCAGGTGTCTTATGGAAACACGTCCCTAATATTTTTCAGCCGTACCGGAGAGCGACTCCCGGATCTCAGTGTGAGAGTTGAGTGCGCTAGCGATCGAGCTACGGGGCACCGAGACACCAGAATGATCAGGGACATAATCTACAATACCTTTATGGTTTCTGAAACTGAAACAGCCCAGCGTACATATACATTTACTTGTAGAAATAAAAATAATTATACGTGCGAACACATCCGCAGGTTTCGTGGTTAAGGACCTCTACCTGGAGTATACCTGGTGAGGGTTTCGGGGGTCAACGACCCCGCGGCTAGGTCTGAGACAAGACCTCTAACAGGGATTTACAGCCTGTTTATATTCTGCATCCTAGTCAACTCTGCTGCAGTGAACCTCAGTGGTGAGCTTTTAAGAAAATGGGATCCTAGTGTGTAAAACACTGGTCTAAGAGCAAACAGTTTTTTTCATATATAATAAACTACGCTAGGGTATTTCAGCATATTTAAAACCCTAATTTTTAATGGGGTTGACCGGTAAGTCAGCTGAAGGCCTCGGTCAGATGACCAGAAGCTCAAACGGCGGGCCATCTGACCAAGACCCGCGTCAGGAAACACTTGCCCTGTTTCCTGACGAATGTTACCTAACCTAAGGGTAATTCCTTCAGTTTCGTTCGTGTTCGTTTTTACCATACACAGGTATACACAGAGTTTACTTCTGGTCATAATACACAACTAACCCGCACATTTCGGTCCGACTTGAGCTATTAAACAGTGTGATTAATGGTGCGGGTTAATTGTTATTCCTTTCACGGTATTGTGCCTTTGTTTTTTATGTATACAGTGGTACCTCGGGATACGAGCAGCTCAAAACACAAACAATTATGTAAGTGTTTTTATGTAAATGTTTTTGTAAGTGTATTTTTGGGGGTCTGAAACGGATTAATCTAATTTATATTATTCCTCATGGGAACAAATTCGTTCGATATCGGCACTCGAACAGCCTTCTGGGACGAATTGAGTTCGTAACCCGAGGTACCACTATATGGTTCATTTATTTTTAATACTGACGGTATCATACTTCATGATCATTACTACCACTGACCTGTACTTGGCTGCCTACTCTAGAGGGGCACGGAACACCAGGAGACCTTGGAGAAGCAGGTCAACTCAGCCTACCCTCTGATACATGCTCGTGTCCTGCCTCTCCTGGCAGCCTTCCTTCATAACAAACGATTGCACGGCAAGAAGAAAGAAAAGTACGTATATTTATAGGCATACCGTATTTTTTTCGGCAAATATAAGGTCTGTGTCTTGTATACTCAAGGTTAAAGGTAAACTTTAGATTAGGGTTTAGCAGTTTACTAACGTTGATTTACATGATTGTGCACCTTGTATGTTGTATAATATTACGTGACTGGTGTGTGGTGTTTCACCCTCTCTTGATATATATTTAATAGGGGGTGTATATACCTTAGTGTGTATATATTGGGTATACACTACTGGGTATACACAACCGTCTCTCTCCAGTCCTCAGATACTAGAATTTAGGTCATCTCCTGGCCCCGCATCTTCGCTGGCCGCTACTTGGTCACTCTTCCCGCTCCATGACCTTTATCATACCTCGTCTTAAAGCTGTGTATGGATCCTACCTCCACTCCACTTCCCAGACTATTCCACTTCCTGACAACTCTGTGGCTGAAGAAATACCTCCTAACATCCCTGTGATTCATCTGATTCTTCAATTTCCAATTGTGACACCTTATTGCTGTGTTCCATCTCTGGAATATCCTGTTTCTGTCCACCTTGTCGTTTCCTCTCAGTATTTTATATGTCGTTACGTATTTACCGTAATATGTATATACTGAGTATACACTACTGGGTATACATTACTACGTATACACTACTAGGTATACACAACCGTGTCTCTTCAGTCCTCAACTGCTGGAATTTAGGTAAGCCAGACATCAATAATAGAAACAAAACTGTTCATAAACACATCAACTTAAAATATCTCGGAAACTCATCACTACATTTATGTCCATTGAAAACTTAAAATTTGGCCTAAGTGAAATTTATCCTGATTACTAAATAGACCCTCTCAATGTTATTATTTTAAACCAGTGTACATTGGTAATTTATCTCGGAAACTAACAATAGACAAAAAAAATCGCAAAAATAAAAGTTTTTCAATCTATTCTGACAAATTATTGTCAGTCTGTAATTTAAACTCAAAATATTATTGTCTATAGTTACCACTCGAATATAACTGTAAAAATATACCAATATCACAATGTGAACTTTATTCACTAAGACGACATTTTGGCCACCAGGGAATTTATCATTTGAAAAATAATTTAAACTAGGCTTTCCCCGTCTGTGTGAGATCTAAAAAAATTAATTATCATTATTATAGTTTCTTACCGATATATTGTTGTATTTTTATCATTCATATTCGAGTGCTGAATATACACACTAATATTTTGAGCTGAAATTGTCAGAAGACCCAATACTCTATTTTACGAAGTATCGGTCACCAGGGAATTTATCACTGTACAATACGAGAGAATTATCCTCGTAGTCCATAACATCAGCCCTTATAGGAATGTTTCTCGTTAATTACCATAAATTTCGTGTCCTATTTACAAAGCTACCACTAAAATACTATGCTATATCAACTTTCTCTGGCTACCTAATATTCTTCCTTTCAAAAATGTATATGTGTAGAATTTTGAGGTGTCTTGTATGCTTTAAAAATATTTGGCTTTCTTTTTCTGAATATCTTTTTCAGAAGCTTGTACTCTTCTCTGAGCCTGCTGGACCTGGTCGACCGTTTGTTGAAGAAACGTCCCATCGTCTTTTTCAACTCCATTGACAACTACCTCCTGCGTGATGGTACTGAGGGCTGCGACGGCTTCGAGGAAATAGGTCACTCTCATGAGCAACCCAATTTGTGCCTGAAGGATTACATGACTTACGATGAAATGAAGCTATCGGCTCTTTTATGTGTGACATCTGAGTCGACTTTTATTAATGATGGTAGTCGACATAACCGTGGAGTGCTGGGCGCCCCCGGTACTTACCAACCAGAAGGTGTTATTGTTGGTATGGTAGGTGCTAGGTTCGAGCGGGAAGGAGTCATGGAATGGCAGGACTGTGTTGTTACTCCTGAACAAAACACCCAGGAACGAGGCTATGGCGATGATCCTCCGAAGAAACGGTGGCTGGTGAGAGAGTGGGGAAAATTGTGGGGGGAGACACCTCTCCCCACATGGAAGCAGGCTCAGGATGCCCCAGAAAACAACTTCATCCATCTGTCTTCCAGAGCGTTGATGAACGTGCAAGTGTATCAGGCCCGCATTAAGCTGTCAGCGGAGACCCTGCTGGCTGAAGCTGGCGTGCGTGCTGCTGCCGCTGGATTGAAAGCCTATGTGCATGTTGTGGGACTTGGACTCGGAGTATGGCTAATTTCCTCGCAACAGAAGCAGCTCTATGTGAATGCCTGGGGTGAAGCAATGAGAAATACAGACACTACACACATCGCCCACTTAGATTTCAGCTGGATTGAGGCGTCTTCGTGTGTAGGGGTGAATGATGGAGAGGTGTTTCCTGATACCTCTGTCACAATACACTTCTCCAGGAGGTGCCCGCATGCTCCAGTCCCCGCCGGCACTCTGTTAGTTGCCACCTTCGCCTGGGACAGCAACTCCATGCCTGGTAACGAGTACTGGAAAGGAATGTTATCGGCGTCTGGAGACCCAGCGGCCGCCTGCTCATCTGGAGTTGCAGAATTACACAATGCTTTAATCAATCCTTGCGTAACGGCTCACAACCTGCACATTGCGTCATCTGGACGTGTGGAACACGTGGCAGAGTATGCACGTCGGCTACTGAATGAGCGAGTAGGTTCCAGCACATCTGAGGAAAAGTAATAATGAGAATTAAACCCAGCACAAGACGTAGTGATGAAAATTAAACCCAGCGCAAGACGTAGTGCAGGCTTGATCCTCCGTCCTGTCCTTCCTATTTGTACTCAAGGTGATATCAAGTTGAGTACAAATAGGAAGCGCGTCTTTCTGGCTCACAGACGGAGGATCAAGCCTCCACAAAGTCTTAGTGTGAATTATTTACTGTATTTTCTGGTATATAAGACGCACGAGCATATAAGACTGTTTCCAAACATTGTAATCTAACGTTACTAAATAACTGCTAAAGCCTAACCTAAAGCCTACCCATGACCGTGAACTTGAGTATATAAGGCACAGGATGATTTTCCAAGACTTTTTGTTGGAAAAATGAGTGCGCCTTATATGCCGGAAATTATGGTTTTGTAAGTTAAACTGGAAGCATACAAGTAGTTGCTGCAACTTGATGAGTCGCATTAATATTACACGGACTCCACTTGTATACCTGCCACTGGTGCATCCCGAACTTACTCTTGTGTGCCGACTCCTCTACGTTGATTCGTTGTTGAACATTAAAATGGTATAAAATACCGACAGATTGTTAGGTAAGACACATATGCAACAGTTAGATATCTTTATTTCGAAACGTTTCGCCTACACAGTAGGCTTCTTCAGTAGAGTACAGAAAAGTTGATAGAAGCAGAAGAGACTTGAAGACGATGTAATCAGTCCATCAGTACGCCGGTTCCTGTACGTGGTATCAGAATTGGAAGGATGTTGCACGTTGAGGTTTTTTATATTTCCTTGGTATCTCCTGCGAGTGGCAGTGTATTTGATGCTTGCTCATAACTCAGATTTTGGCTCTCAATTCGAAGCAAAAAATCCACCGATGCTCGTAACTCGGAAAACCCGTAAGTTGAGGCACTCGTCAGTCGAGGTACCAATGTATATAGACATACATATATATGTCGTGCCAAATAGGTAAGACTTGTGATTGCCAAATAAGTCAAGCGAAAATTTATTTGTAGTAATTTCACAAAAATCATTCTGAACCTAACGAAAAAAAAATTACATTATTAAATTATTGTAAACTTATCTAAAATATATTTAGTTGGATTAGGCTAAATTAAATTGCGCTTGTTATAATGTCAGGTAAGTTTTCTAAGGTTCTTTTGGTACAAACTTATTAATTTTTATATTAACATAAATGAAAAAAAAATCTATAAACTTATAAGAGAAAAATTTAGAAAGGACTTAATTTTAAAAGAGTTCTTGCTAATTGAACAATTTTACCTATTCGGCACGACATACGTGAGGTGAAAAATAGGTAATAGTAGTAGTAATTGTGGTAGTAATAGTAGTAATGGTTGCAGTTGCTTCTGTGTCCATTTACCTAAATTATATAGGTACTTCTGCTGTATTATCCTCCGGGTTTAGCGCTTCCCCCTTGATTATAATAATAATATAGGTACTTATATCATTATTACTAATATCTTAGTTTAAAGTCATTATCTCTACCTAATTAGCCAGTCAGGGATCCTGTCAGCCGGTGAGAGATGCTGATTATAATTAAATTATCACCGATTATATTTTTAGCTTAATTATTAAACTAAATTATTCAGTCAGTGACTGGTTTAAAAATCTCAGGTGTCCCCTAACTCGCCTATTAGTCATATGACCCGCAGCTGGATCTTTTGGACATCTGACCAAGACCTTCCACTGGCTTACCCCCTGGAGATACTAATCACGATTAGCTAAGAATGCGTTGTACTTAATTTATATAGAAAAAAATGTATATCAAATTTATATGTATTACAATGTATATTTTACAAGCTTATTTCAGATGTATTTGGTTCAGTGTTTGAATTTATAAGTTAAATTTATCTTAATTTGTTAAATAATGCAATTTGGTTAATTTAGTGTTGGAATAAAAACTCACTTCCTGAGAGGCTACTTAACCCCCTTGAGGGGCGTCGCCCCCTTGTTTATAATAGTACACTACAGGGGCGTCGCCCCTTGTTTATAATAGTACACTACAGGGGCGTCGCCCCCTTGTTTATAATAGTACACTACAGGGGCGTCGCCCCTTGTTTATAATAGTACACTACAGGGGCGTCGCCCCCTTGTTTATAATAGTACACTACAGGGGGTCGCCCCTTGTTTATAATAGTACACTACAGGGGCGTCGCCCCCTTGTTTATAATAGTACACTACAGGGGCGTCGCCCATTGTTTATAATCGTAGATGGGTGTCGCCCCCTTGTTTATAATCGTAGATGGGTGTCGCCCCTTGTTTATAATCGTAGATGGGTGTCGCCCCTTGTTTATAATCGTAGATGGGTGTCGCCCCCTTGTTTACAATCGTAGATGGGCGTCGCCCCCTTGTTTACAATCGTAGATGGGCGTCGCCCCCTTGTTTATAATCGTAGATGGGCGTCGCCCCTTGTTTATAATCGTAGATGGGCGTCGCCCCTTGTTTATAATCGTAGATGGGTGTCGCCCCCTTGTTTACAATCGTAGATGGGCGTCGCCCCCTTGTTTATAATCGTAGATGGGCGTCGCCCCTTGTTTATAATCGTAGATGGGCGTCGCCCCCTTGTTTATAATCGTAGATGGGCGTCGCCCCCTTGTTTACAATCGTAGATGGGCGTCGCCCCCTTGTTTATAATCGTAGATGGGCGTCGCCCCTTGTTTACAATCGTAGATGGGCGTCGCCCCTTGTTTATAATCGTAGATGGGCGTCGCCCCTTGTTTACAATCGTAGATGGGCGTCGCCCCTTGTTTATAATCGTAGATGGGCGTCGCCCCTTGTTTACAATTGTAGAGGGGCGTCGCCCCTTGTTTACAATTGTAGAGGGGCGTCGCCCTTGTTTACAATTGTAGAGGGGCGTCGCCCCTTATCTATAATCATTACATTTCGAGAGTAATAATGTTTTTTTAAATATTCAAGTTATTTTAGTAAAAATGTTGACGGCAGAATGTTATCTCTTCAGAAAATGAGATAAACTGAGGCTGAACAGACAAAAATTCTGATGATGCCGGACATAGCATGTTCATGGTGTCCCGTGGCCTGGTAGGCAACGCTCACGCTTCAGTGTCCCTGGTTCGATCCCTGGCGAGGGTGTGTTTCCTTACACCTGCTGCCCCATTCCCCTAGCAGTAAGTACGTACCTGGGTGTTAGGTGACTGGTGTGGGTGGCATCCTGGGAGACAAGATTGAGGACCACAATGGAAATAAGACAGTCCTCGATGACGCACTGACTTTCTTGGTTACCCCTGCGTGGCTAACCCTCCGGAATTAAAAATCCGAACAAAATCTTCTCCCCATCTCTTACACTGAGTGAGGGATGCGCAACTTTTTCATGACTCACGAAATCGTAATAACACGACTGGAAACGAACCACGGCACGGGTGGTGTTTGAACCATGGAAGACCGAGTCTTCAAAGGTAGTGACAGTTGTTATGCAGATTCCAGAATTTTAGACCAGATATATAATCATTTAACTCAGGCTTGAGCTTCTAAAAGTATTCAGTCTGATTTATATCATCCCCTACCAAGAATTTTAGTCATTACTACTTGCATATATCTGTAACGGCACACATAAGTACGATAAAGCACATAAGTTACTGGGAACGGTTAAGTCCCTTGATTTGTATTCTCTGGAACGCAGGCGAGAGAGATACATGATAATATACACTTGGAAAATCCTAGAGGGATTGGTACCAGACTTGCACACGAAAATCACTCCCGATGAAAGCAAAAGACTCGGTAGACGATGCAACATGGTAGTTGCAACATGGTACTTGCAACATGGTACTTGCAACATGGTAGTTGCAACATGGCAAGAGATGCAACATTCCCCCAGTGAAAAGCAGGGGCGCCACGAGTACACTGAGAGACAACACAATAAGTGTCAGGGGCCTAAGACTGTTTAACTACCTCCCAGCATACATAAGGGGGATTACCAATAGACCCCTGGCTGTCTTCAAGACCCCTGGCTGTCTTCAAGACCCCTGGCTGTCTTCAAGACCCCTGGCTGTCTTCAAGACCCCTGGTTGTCTTCAAGACCCCTGGTTGTCTTCAAGACCCCTGGCTGTCTTCAAGACCCCTGGCTGTCTTCAAGACCCCTGGCTGTCTTCAAGAAGGCACTGAACAGGCACCAAAGTCAGTTCCTGACCAACCGGGCTGTGGTACGTACGTCAGTTTGCATGCGACCAGCAGTAACAGTCTGGTTGATCAGACCCTGATCCACCACTAGGCCTGGTCTCAGACCGAGCCGCGGGGGCGTTGACCCCCAAAAACCTCTCCAGGTAAACTACTTACACCTAGTTTACCCACGAAGCTATACATATACATGTATACTGTGTATACATACACATGTATACTGTGTATGCATACACATGTATACTGTGTATACATACACATGTATACTGTGTATACATACACATGTATACTGTGTATACATACACATGTATACTGTGTATACATACACATGTATACTGTGTATACATACACATGTACTGTGTATACATACACAGTATACTGTGTATACATATACATGTATACTGTGTATACATATACATGTATACTGTGTATACATACACATGTATACTGTGTATACATACACATGTATACTGTGTATACATACACATGTATACTGTGTATACATACACATGTATACTGTGTATACATACACATGTATACTGTGTATACATATACATGTATACTGTGTATACATACACATGTATACTGTGTATACATACACTAACTGTGTATACATACACATGTATACGTGTATACATACACATGTATACCGTGTATACATACACATGTATACCGTGTATACATACACATGTATACCGTGTATACATACACATGTATACCGTGTATACATACACATGTATACCGTGTATACATACACATGTATACCGTGTATACATACACATTATCTGTGTATACATACACATGTATACTGTTATACATACACATGTATACTGTGTATACATACACATGTATACTGTGTATACATACACATGTATACTGTGTATACATACACATGTATACCGTGTATACATACACATGTATACCGTGTATACATACACATGTATACCGTGTATACACACACATGTATACCGTGTATACACATACATCTGGGTTCTCTTCAGATCTCTAAATACTTCTGATTTTGTTTAGTTAATGTTAAGCGATAAACTCGTATGGGTCATTCAGTTCAAGACTTTAAGGTTGATTCACCATCACCTAAATGTCACTTCACTTATGGTGTGAAACCAGTTTCACACCTTACCACGGGTGGGGTTAGAACTCGCGGTCGAAGAATCTCACAACTCAAGACCGACGCGTTAGCCACTGGGCCAGCTAGCTAGTTTAATGTTTATTATGTACCCCATACCCATGGTGTGGGCGGTAGTCATCCCATACCCATGGTGTGGGCGGTAGTCATCCCATACCCATGGTGTGGGCGGTAGTCATCCCATACCCATGGTGTGGGCGGTAGTCACCCCATACCCATGGTGTGGGCGGTAGTCACCCCATACCCATGGTGTGGGCGGTAGTCACCCCATACCCATGGTGTGGGCGGTAGTCACCCCATACCCATGGTGTGGGCGGTAGTCACCCCATACCCATGGTGTGGGCGGTAGTCACCCCATACCCATGGTGTGGACGGTAGTCAAAAGATTACAGTGGTGCACAATGGGTACAGGGACCGGGCTCCATAGTTTTAATAGCTGAACAAAGGTAATGAGTCACCCGTGCCAGTATGGCGTGAGTCACCCGTGCCAGTATGGCGTGAGTCGCCCGTGCCAGTATGACGTGAGTCGCCCGTGCCAGTATGACGCGAGTCACCCGTGCCAGTATGACGCGAGTCACCCGTGCCAGTATGACGCGAGTCACCCGTGCCAGTATGACGCGAGTCACCCGTGCCAGTATGACGCGAGTCACCCGTGCCAGTATGACGCGAGTCACCCGTGCCAGTATGACGCGAGTCACCCGTGCCAGTATGACGCGAGTCACCCGTGCCAGTATGACGCGAGTCACCCGTGCCAGTATGACGCGAGTCACCCGTGCCAGTATGACGCGAGTCACCCGTGCCAGTATGACGCGAGTCACCCGTGCCAGTATGACGCGAGTCACCCGTGCCAGTATGACGCGAGTCACCCGTGCCAGTATGACGCGAGTCACCCGTGCCAGTATGACGCGAGTCACCCGTGCCAGTATGACGCGAGTCACCCGTGCCAGTATGACGCGAGTCACCCGTGCCAGTATGACGCGAGTCACCCGTGCCAGTATGACGCGAGTCACCCGTGCCAGTATGACGCGAGTCACCCGTGCCAGTATGACGCGAGTCACCCGTGCCAGTATGACGCGAGTCACCCGTGCCAGTATGACGCGAGTCACCCGTGCCAGTATGACGCGAGTCACCCGTGCCAGCACGACGCGAGTCACCCGTGCCAGCACGACGCGAGTCACCCGTGCCAGCACGACGCGAGTCACCCGTGCCAGCACGACGCGAGTCACCCGTGCCAGCACGACGCGAGTCACCCGTGCCAGCACGACGCGAGTCACCCGTGCCAGCACGACGCGAGTCACCCGTGCCAGCACGACGCGAGTCACCCGTGCCAGCACGACGCGAGTCACCCGTGCCAGCACGACGCGAGTCACCCGTGCCAGCACGACGCGAGTCACCCGTGCCAGCACGACGCGAGTCACCCGTGCCAGCACGACGCGAGTCACCCGTGCCAGCACGACGCGAGTCACCCGTGCCAGCACGACGCGAGTCACCCGTGCCAGCACGACGCGAGTCACCCGTGCCAGCACGACGCGAGTCACCCGTGCCAGCACGACGCGAGTCACCCATGCCAGCACGACGCGAGTCACCCGTGCCAGCACGACGCGAGTCACCCTAATTTATGAAGTATAATCGTAAATTATATTCAGATCAATTACTTTTATTAAACTCCCCCTCAAGGGAGGTTCCTTGATGCTGGTGAGAGGCTCTTGATCTAGGGAATTGGATCTGTGCTCCGGTTCCCTGAATTAAGTCTGAATACCTTCCATCCCCCCCCCTCCCATCATTAGCTCTGTATAATCCTAGATTTAGTGCTCCCCCATGATTATAATTGATAAAACCATAGACCTGCTTTATAACTTACCACGGGTGGGGTTAGAACCCGCGGTCAGTGTCTCTCTGACCGCGGGTTCTAACCCCGCCCGTAGTATGGTTTGTTTACAATCGTGTCATCACGATTTCGTGAGTCATATTGATACAACTTCGTTGGCTTTTCGGAAATTAATTGGGCGGTTAAAATCTCGCATGAGTAACCAGAGTATGAGACTTTTGTCCGGTTCTAATGCTATATTTATATTGTCGTATTCTTAGTTCAAGATTTTTCCCAGTTTGTCCCTTGTAAACTTTGTTACATTTTGTACAAGGAATCTTGTAGACAGTCATCAGCATTTTGGGGGGAATTTTTATTTTTTACTGTATAGAGATTTTTAAGTGCAACGCTAAACTAAGATTAAACAACAGAAATATAGCAGAATTGGGCAAGTCTAATGCTCTGTCTATTCATGTGAGGGATTTTAACTATTCAATTTATTTTCCAGAGACCGAGGAGTTGCATCACGCAGGTTTATGGTTGCTATAAATATGATTGAATTAAGTTTCATAATATTTTCATGTGAATAATATTTTAGGGTTATACGAATTATATTCATTTGTAATTAATAAATTTTTGGAAGAATTTAAGGTATGAGTGACGGGTCGCTGACACCCCCTTCCTACGTCACGCTTGAACAGATGTTGTGTTTTTATACACACACACAGGGCCAGGAGCTGTGACTCGACCCTTGCAACCACACCTAGGTGAGTACACACACACACACACACACACACACACACACACACTCACACACACACACAGGGCCAGGAGCTGTGACTCGACCCTTGCAACCACACCTAGGTGAGTACACACACACATACACACACAGGGCCAGGAGCTGTGACTCGACCCTTGCAACCACACCTAGGTGAGTACACACACACACACACACACACACACACACACATGGGGGCCAAGATACATGGAGGGCTAAGATGATGGAGGTGGTACTGGAGAACTTCATGTACCAACACGTAAGGGACACTACAAGAGAGAGAGGAGAGGATGAACCACCAAGACTGGACCTAGTATTCACCTTGAGTAGTGCAGATATTGAGGACATCACATATGAAAGACCCCTTGGGGCCAGCGATTATGTGGTTTTAAGCTTCAAATACACAGTAGAGCTACAAGTGGAGGGGGAAGCAGGAAGGCCAGGACGAATGAAGCCAAACTACAAGAAAGGGGACTACACGGGAATGAGGAACTTCCTGAATGGGGTTCAGTGGGACAGAGAACTGGCAGGGAAGCCAGTTAATGAGATGATGGAATATGTAGCAACAAAATGCAAGGAGGCTGAGGAGAGGTTTGTACCCAAGGGTAACAGGAATAATGAAAAAGCCAGGATGAGCCCATGGTTTACCCAAAGGTGCAGGGAGGCAAAAACCAAGTGTGCTAGGGAATGAAAGAAATGTAGAAGGCAAAGGACCCAGGAGAATAAGGAGAGCAGTCGTAGAGCCAGAAATGAATATGCACAGATAAGAAGGGAGGCCCAACGACAATATGAAAACGACATAGCAGCGAAAGCCAAATCTGACCCAAAGGTGTTATACAGCCACATCAGGAGGAAAACAGTCAAGGACCAGGTAATCAGGCTAAGGAAGGAAGGAGGAGAGACAAGAAATCACCGTGAAGTATGTGAGGAACTCAAGAGATTCAAAGAAGTGTTCACAGAGGAGACAGAAGGGGCTCCAGAAAGATGGAGAGGTGGGGCACACCACGAAGTGCTGGACACAGTACACACAACCGAGGAAGAAGTGAAGAGGCTTCTGAGTGAGCTAAATATCTCAAAGGCAATGGGGCCGGATAACATCTCCCCATGGGTCCTGAGAGAGGGAGCAGAGGCGCTATGTGTACCCCTAACAACAATATTCAATACATCTATCGAAACAGGGAGATTGCCTGAGGCATGGAAGACAGCAAATGTAGTCCCAATCTTTAAAAAAGGAGACAGACATGAAGCACTAAACTACAGACCAGTGTCACTGACATGTATAGTATGCAAAGTCGTGGAGAAGATTATCAGGAGAAGAGTGGTGGAACACCCAGAAAGGAATGATCTCATCAACAGCAGCCAACGGTTTCAGGGACGGGAAATCCTGTGTCACAAACCTACTGGAGTTCTATGACATGGTGACAGCAGTAAGACAAGAGAGAGAGAGAGAGGGGTGGGTAGATTGCATTTTCTTCGACTGCAAGAAGGCGTTTGACACAGTTCCATACAAGAGATTAGTACAAAAACTGGAGGACCAAGCAGGGATAACAGGGAAGGCACTACAATGGATCAGGGAATACTTGTCAGGAAGACAGCAGCGAGTCATGGTACGTGGCGAGGTGTCAGAGTGGGCACCTGTGACCAGCGGGGTCCCACAGGGGTCAGTCCTAGGACCAGTGCTGTTTCTGGTATTTATGAACGGCATAACGGAAGGAATAGACTCCGAAGTGTCCCTGTTTGCAGATGACGTGAAGTTGATGAGAAGAATTCATTCGATCGAAGACCAGGCAGAACTATAAAGGGATCTGGACAGGCTGCAGACCTGGTCCAGCAATTTGCTCCTGGAGTTCAACCCCACCAAGTGCAGAGTCATGAAGATTGGGGAAGGGCAAAGAAGACCGCAGATGGAGTACAGTCTAGGGTGCCAGAGACTTCAAACCTCGCTCAAGGAAAAAGATCTTTGGGTGAGTATAACACCAGGCACATCTCCTGAAGCGCACATCAACCAAATAACTGCTGCAGCATATGGGCGCCTGGCAAACCTCAGAACAGCATTCCGACATCTTAATAAGGAATCATTCAGGACCCTGTACACTGTGTACGTTAGGCCCATATTGGAGTATGCGGCACCAGTTTGGAACCCACACCTAGCCAAGCACGTAAAGAAACTAGAGAAAGTGCAAAGGTTTGCAACAAGACTAGTCCCAGAGCTAAGAGGTATGTCCTACGAGGAGAGGTTAAGGGAAATCGACCTGACGACACTGGAGGACAGGAGAGATAGGGGGGACATGATAACGGCACACAAAATACTGAGAGGAATCGACAAGGTGGACAAAGACAGGATGTTCAAGAGATGGGACATAGCAACAAGGGGATATAGTTGGCAGCTGAAGACACAGATGAATCACAGGGATGTTAGGAAGTATTTCTTCAGCCACAGAGTAGTCAGGAAGTGGAATAGTTTGGGAAGCGATGTAGTGGAGGCAGGATCCATACATAGCTTTAAGCATAGGTATGATAAAGCTCACGGTTCAGGGAGAGTGACCTAGTAGCAACCAGTGAAGAGGCGGGGCCAGGAGCTAGGACTCGACCCCTGCAACCTCAACTAGGTGAGTACAACTAGGTGAGTACACACACACACACCAGTAGCGGCCAGTGAAGAGGCGGGGCCAGGAGCTATGAATGGACCCCTGCAACCAGAACTAGGTGAGTACACACGTGTGTGAATGACATGACGGAAGGAATAGACTCAGAAGTGTGTCTGCACACGATGGAGGAGGACGACCAGGCAGGACTAGAAAGGGATCTGGAGAGACTACAAGCCTGGTCTAGCAACTGGCTCCTGGAGTTCAACCCCACCAAGTGCAAAATCATGAAGATCGGGGAAGGGCAAAGAAGACCGCAGACAGAGTACAGTCTAGGGGAAGACTGCAAACCGCACTCAGGGAAAAGGATCATGGGGTGAGTATAATACCGAACATATCTCCTGAGGCGCATTTTAACCAAAGGAGTCGTTCAGGACTCTGTACACCGTGTACTTCAGGCCATATTGGAGTATGTAGCACCAGTTTGGAACCCACACCTTGGCAAGCACGTATGGAAATTAGAGAATGTGCAAAGGTTTGCAACCAGACTAGTTCCGGAGCTAAGGGACATGTCCTAAGAGGAAATTTTAGGGAAAATTGAACGGACGACACTGGAGGGAATGAGGGACAAGGGGTCATGATAACATATGAAATACTGAGAGGCATCGACAAGGTGGACAGAGACAGGATGTTCAAGAGATGGGACACAGCGACAAGGAGTCACAATTGGAAGTTGAAGACTCGGATAAATCACAGAGATATTGGGAAGTATTTCTTCAGAGTTGTCAGGAAGTGAAACTCCTCTCTACAGAATCCTTTGAAATATTTGTAATTTAATTACTATAATGGTGAGAATAATTTCATATATTTAACCCTAGATTATACGACTTGAATCTAGTGAACAAGAGTCGCAATACCATGGTTGAAATTTTCTGAAAACTGTTTTGAGAGGAATCTCATGACGCCATTAAGGTAAGTCGTGGACCATTATTAATATATCTTCCCTTAGTTAAGTTATTCCCTCTGATGTTTTCTTGTCAGTACGTGTGTTTGAATATATCAGTAGTTAAGATATTTTTGCTATGTCACTCCTGCGTCATAATGGCTTACTGAGGGTGCCACCTTACCATCACAATATCATTTACTTGTAAATTGTGCTTCTAAACACGCTAATTACCAACAGAAAATGCATTTTCAAACCGATTTCTGGATTATTTTCATTGTGGAGACAAGTTCCCGGTTTGCAGAGTAAAATCAACTCCAGTAAGTGTAAATTATTGTTGTCAACGTCGGCAAGTTGTTGTTGAGATCGGTGGATGTTTTGCAGGGGTAGTCACTCCAGCTCAACAGACAGATGAAGGTGGTAACTCTGTGTTTGTTAGTGGCTGCTGTGGCAGGGGGCGCTGAAGGGGTGTTGGCCCCCCCTGAGAGGCAATACAAAATCCTCTTACTTCTTCCCATGTCCTTCAGGAGTCATAGAACCATCTTCATGTCCCTTGCCGAGGCTCTGGCAGAACGTGGACACAAGGTAAGAGCATTCTGGTACACAAGATCACTCTTGCAACTCTGGTACACAAGATCACTCTTACAAGTCTGGTACACAAGATCACTCTTACAAGTCTGGTACACAAGATCACTCTTACAAGTCTGGTACACAAGATCACTCTTACAAGTCTGGTACACAAGATCACTCATACAAGTCTGGTACACAAGATCACTCATACAAGTCTGGTACACAAGATCACTCATACAAGTCTGGTACACAAGATCACTCATACAAGTCTGGTACACAAGATCACTCATACAAGTCTGGTACACAAGATCACTCATACAAGTCTGGTACACAAGATCACTCATATAAGTCTGGTACACAAGAACACACAATTCTGGTACACAAGAACACTCTTACAAGTCTGGTACACAAGATCACTCATACAAGTCTGGTACACAAGATCACTCATACAAGTCTGGTACACAAGATCACTCATACAAGTCTGGTACACAAGATCACTCATATAAGTCTGGTACACAAGAACACACAATTCTGATACACAAGAACACTCATACAAGTCTGGTACACAAGATCACTCATACAAGTCTGGTACACAAGATCACTCATACAAGTCTGGTACACAAGATCACTCATATAAGTCTGGTACACAAGAACACACAATTCTGGTACACAAGAACACTCATACAAGTCTGGTACACAAGATCACTCATATAAGTCTGGTACACAAGAACACACAATTCTGGTACACAAGAACACTCATACAAGTCTGGTACACAAGATCACTCATACAAGTCTGGTACACAAGATCACTCATACACGTCTGGTACACAAGATCACTCATATAAGTCTGGTACACAAGAACACACAATTCTGGTACACAAGAACACTCATACAAGTCTGGTACACAAGATCACTCATACAAGTCTGGTACACAAGATCACTCATACAAGTCTGGTACACAAGATCACTATAAGTCTGGACAAGCTCATACAAGTCTGGTACACAAGATACTCAACAAGCTGTACACAAGTCACTCATATAAGTCTGGTACACAAGAACACACATCTGGACACAAGACACTCATACAAGTCTGGTACACAAGATCACTCATACAAGTCTGGTACACAAGATCACTCATACAAGTCTGGTACACAAGATCACTCATATAAGTCTGGTACACAAGAACACACAATTCTGGTACACAAGATCACTCATACAAGTCTGGTACACAAGATCACTCATACAAGTCTGGTACACAAGATCACTCATACAACTCTGGTACACAAGACCACTCTTAAAGTCTGGTACACAAGATCACTCATACAACTCTGGTACACAAGACCACTCTTACAAGTCTGGTACACAAGATCACTCTTACAACTCTGGTACACAAGATCACTCTTACAAGTCTGGTACACAAGAACACACAATTCTGGTACACAAGAACACTCATACAAGTCTGGTACACAAGATCACTCATACAAGTCTGGTACACAAGATCACTCATACAACTCTGGTACACAAGACCACTCGCAAGAGTAGGCCTATAGGAACATGCTAGGTAGGTCACACTCTCACCCAACTATTAACGAAGCTTACAGATGTGTTGCGTGGGTAGTTTTAAAACTATTGTGAAAAACTGGAGATAAAATTACAAATACCAAGACATGCATGTGGGTTTAATGCGGGTTTAATGCGGGTTTAGAGCTTCCGTAGATAAAAACCATATGTACACCTGTTAACCCTTTTGGGGCCTAGTTCCTAGGCCTTTTGTGTCTCCATATGCTCTTGTGCTACCATCCACAGGATCGATATGAGGTACACAATAAACTAGCCACTACCATCCACAGGATGGATATGAGGTACACAAACTAGCCACTACCATCCACAGGATGGATATGAGGTACACAATAAACTAGCCACTACCATCCAAAAGATTTATATGAGGTACACAATAAACTAGCCACTGCCATCCACAGGATGGATATGAGGTACACAATAAACTAGCCACTACCATCCACAGGATGGATATGAGGTACACAATAAACTAGCCACTACCATCCACAGAATGGATATGAGGTACATAATAAACTAGCCACTACCATCCACAGGATGGATATGAGGTACACAATAAACTAGCCACTACCATCCACAGATGGATATGAGGTACACAATAAAACTAGCCACTACCATCCACAGGATGGATATGAGGTACACAATAAACTAGCCACTACCATCCACAGATGGATATGAGGTACACAATAAAATAGCCACTCATCCACAGGATGGATATGAGGTACACAATAAAACTAGCCAACTACCATCCACAGGATGGATATGAGGTACACAATAACTAGCCACTACCATCCACAGGATGGATATGAGGTACACAATAAACTAGCCACTACCATCCACAGGATGGATATGAGGTACACAATAAACTAGCCACTACCATCCACAGGATGGATATGAGGTACACAATAAACTAGCCACTACCATCCACAGGATGGATATGAGGTACACAATAAACTAGCCACTACCATCCACAGGATGGATATGAGGTACACAAACTAGCCACTACCATCCACAGGATGGATATGAGGTACACAATAAACTAGCCACTACCATCCACAGGATGGATATGAGGTACACAATAAACTAGCCACTACCATCCACAGGATGGATATGAGGTGCACAATAAACTAGCCACTACCATCCACAGGATGGATATGAGGTACACAATAAACTAGCCACTACCATCCACAGGATGGATATGAGGTACACAATAAACTAGCCACTACCATCCACAGGATGGATATGAGGTACACAATAAACTAGCCATACCATCCACAGGATGGATATGAGGTACACAATAACTAGCCACTACCATCCACAGGATGGATATGAGGTACACAATAAACTAGCCACTACCATCCACAGGATGGATATGAGGTACACAATAAACTAGCCACTACCATCAACAGGATGGATATGAGGTACACAATAAACTAGCCACTACCATCCACAGGATGGATATGAGGTACACAATAAACTAGCCACTTCGGTGGCAAAATCTAATCATAATAACTCTTGTTTAGTAGATTGGCGTTTAACCCATTAACTAACCAATGTACTAGAGTCAAACAAAGTTTTCTGAGTTTAATAGATCAGCGTGACTTGTAAATGGTCCAAGTTGGACCGAAACGTCGTCGTAAGCTGTCTGCTAGGTGCTAGTGGGTTAAAAGCTGACGCAACATCCTCACAGGAGGAAGCAAAAATGTTGTGATCTCGGATTTGCTATCAATTATCATTATTATTATTATTATTATTATTATTATTATTATTATTATTATTATAACCAAACGCTAAACTCACAATAGTTTGAGAGGTACTCATTTCCAGATCAATTATTCTTATTATTAAAGATTCGCAGGTATTATCCCGGCCCGGGCCTTTTCCAAGTGGTGGCCCGGCCTTGGCTCCCTCTTCAGGGAGTGTCTGACACCTAAGTCTCCCATGGGAGGAGGCACAAGTACCTCCTCATCTTTGGGACCAACTGTCCCCAGGCCTAGCCACAAGCTAGGCCTCTCTTGTCTGCCATCCCCGCCCCAAGGGGGCAATGGGAATGACGTCTTATGAGCTAAAGGCTGGACTCAGGCCACTTCCCTAGCCTAGAAGGGTGGGCATTGGTGTCGATCCCACAGGATCTTTATTACTACCAAGTACATGTACAAGCTATACAGTTCATGTGATCAAGTATACACCAGTACATGCACAAGGTATACCAGTACATGTACAAGGTATACCAGTACATGTACAAGGTATACCAGTACATGTACAAGGTATACCAGTACATGTACAAGGTATACCAGTACATGTACAAGGTATACCAGTACATGTACAAGGTATACAGACCATAGCTGACATCAATGACAGGATGCATGCAGCATTAATACTAACGAGATGAAGAATTGGACACGGATGCAGCATCTAGGTATCTTGCAGATGTTTGGCCATCCAGTGGCTGTAGAAATGTATACAGAAGACAGTGGAAGACAAGGTAATCAGTCCCTCAGCCTGAGAGCAAGTGATGAGCAAGACTGAGCAAGTGATGAGCAAGACTGAGCAAGTGATGAGCAAGACTGTGAAGAACCAGTCTTCCTGCCTCTGCTTCGGATTCTTGAAGAGTACGGTGGTCTCCACCTGCTACTAGGCAGGTCTTCTGTATCTACTGTTTTGATCAAGCCACTGGATGGCGGAACATCTACAAAGTAATGATACCCAGATGTTAAATAAACTATACTATGGGTGGGGTTAGAACCCGCGATCAGAGTCATGAAACTCCAGACCAACGCGTTAACCACTGAGTCACCCAGATGTTGCCATCATTTGATCTGTTGGCTCTGAACCTCATTAATCATCTATATTTCTGAGTAATTTCTCTCTCTTCAGGTAGTAATGTTGACCAACCACCCAAAGTCATCCAGTCATCCGAACATTGACGAGGTCACCCACGGCCTCGAATACATCAACGATGAAAATATTAACATGTTCAATGATAGGAAACAAGGATACAAGATTATGAGGGAAAGTATTGTACGCCTGGCCAGGGACCTGTATGACGTGCCAGTTGTGAAGGAACTGTACCTGAGAAGGAAGGACTTTGATCTGATAGTAGTCAGCTCCTTGTTTAACGAAGTGAGTGTGTGTCTTTGCTCACGAAATCGTAATGACACATAACATAAGAAAGAAGGAACACTGCAACGGGCCTACTGATCTTTGCAAAGCAGGTCCATGTCACCCTCCGGCTTAGCCCAATGATCCACCTAGTCAGGCCACATTCACTTAAGGAGCACGGTATCAAACCTAGTGGCACAAGCTAGTCAGGTCCAACTCATGTCCACCCACACCCACTCATGTATTTATCTAACCTATTTTTAAAACTACACAAAGTTTTGGCTTCTATGAGGGTACTCGGGAGTTTGTTCCACTCATCCACAACTCTATTACCAAACCAGTGCTTTCCTATATCCTTCCTGAATCTGAATTTTTCCAACTTAAAACCATTGCTGTGAGTCCTGTCTTAGCTAGATATTTTTAGCTATTTACATCCCCTTTATTTATTCCTGTTTTCCATTTATACACCTTAGGTATATCCACCAACAACACGACTGCAAAGAAACCACAAAAAAGTGTGGTGCTTGAAACTATGGCAAGTGGTAGACTCCAGGCCAGTGCGTTAACCACTGGGCCACCTGGCTACAATAAGATTAATCTCAAAGATTAACACACTGCCTGGAGTTTTATGACCCACTCGCCATGAGTTCATACCCCACCCGTTCCCGTTTTTTTTTTTTTTTTTTTTTTTTTTTTTAACTATTTTATTAAAATTTCGTGAGTCGGCTCGAAATAATTCTGTCTAGAATGAGTGATGTATCTGTTTTTCCTAATCTTAAATAATTGAAAAGATTTATAGTTGTAACACATCTAGATAACCTCCGCTTATTTTATCTTCTTTCAGATGGCTTATCCTTTCGTGTACGAAATTCCTTTTATCGCTTTTCTCGCCAGAGAAGTAAACAGAAGAGAAACAGTTGTTCTGGGCAACGTCCTTAACCTAGCTTACGTCTGTTCCTTTGGTCATCTGTGTACCGTCCCTATGTCTGCCTGGCAGCGGTTCCTCAATGTCGTTTCACATATACACGAGTTTTATTATGGCCAAATCTTGGTTTTATTGCCTAAACTGCAGAAAGAGGTAAGTTCAGTGTTTACCTGGAGTTTACCTGGAGAGAGTTTCGGGGGTCAACGCCCCCGCGGCCCGGTCTGTGACCAGGCCGCGTTGATCTTTGATATTTAGTTAAATCTTGGTACGAGGTGCACTTGGGGGCTGTGTTTATACTCCTTACGGAAGGAAATAGTTTTAATTACTTAATCATTCTCAATGTAATACCGTTTTCTAATATGTTAGTAGGAAGTTCCTACCATCTTTCAGATCTCTGCCCATTTTCCGGATCTTCCGCCATTACTTGATCTAGAGAGGAATATGAGTATGATGTTCGTCAACACATATTTTTCTGTCGGTATGCCAGTGCCTCTCCTGCCGTCACAGGTGGAGGTGGGTGCCATCCACTGTCGCCCAGCCAACCCTCTGTCTCAGGTGAGATGTGTAGTGGTATTATCCAGGTCGTGTGTCACACGCAGTTAACTGACAAATAAAAAACTGTTAAATGACTGGGGTGTGTGACTGGGATGTGTGACTGGGGTGTGTGACTGGGGTGTGTGACTGGGGTGTGTGACTGGGGTGTGTGACTGGGGTGTGTGACTGGGGTGTGTGACTGGGGTGTGTGACTGGGGGTGTGTGACTGGGGTGTGTGAATGGGGTGTGTGACTGGGTGTGTACTGGGGGTGGACTGGGGTGTATGTGACTGTGGTGTGTGACTGTGGTGTGTGACTGGGATGTGTGACTGGATGTGTGACTGGGGTGTGTGACTGGGTAGTATGACTCAGGTGGTGTGTGACTGCATGTTGTGATGAACTTATGTGTGGGTGCTGTCGATTGGAAGTGTTTGTTAGATGGGGTATGCAACCCACACCGTATTTACCGACCGTCTTGCCACACTAAGTACTCTTCAAGTGGGAGAGAATTATGATGTTGGTAATCATTGTCATGACAGTCACACTTTCGGTTGGGTTAGAACCCGCGATCAGAGAGTCGTAAAACTCCAGACCGACGCGTTAGCCACTGGACCAGGTGGCTACAATATGATTCATCCAAGTAGGTAGGTGATTCATGCAACTAGTTGGATGAATCTTATTGTAGCCACCTGGCCCAGTGGCTAACACGTCGGTCTGGAGTTCTATGATTCCCTGATGGCGGGTTCTAACCCCACCCGTGGTATGGTTTCTCTGACCGTCTTTGAGACACGTAAGTACCCCTGTCTTCTAATAACGTTCATTTTTTCCCCTATAATCTACCTTGTACATAATTACCATCACATTTCCTTTCTTTCGTAAGGTGACGTCCAGGATCTTTACATAATTCATGGTAAAACTTAAATCTTTGAGGACAGATGTGTTGCAGAGCTCAGACCTCTGCAACACAGTTGTTCTCAAAGATTCGTTAAGTTAATACCGTGAATTAAGCAAAGATCCTGGACGTCACCTTACGAAAAAAAGGAAATGTGATAGTAATTATGTACAAGGTAGATTACAGGGGAAAAATGCACGTTATTAGAAGACAGGGGTACTTACGTGCCCTTAAGGGGCACGTAAGTACCCCTGTGAGTGTGTGAACCACTTGTCACATCTGCAACCTGTGCTACAAACTATGGCAACAAAGTTGTGCAATTAATTTACTCAGCCTACTCCATCTTGAGTGGTAACATGTTGCATATGTGAGAGGTGAGTCAGTCTGTTAGGTGGTTCGGTACTTGTCTCTACCTACACTAGTGGTTCCCAACCTGTCGTCCGTGGACTGCTGGGGGTCCACAAGGGTAGTGCTTGGGGATCCACAAGGGTAGTGCTGGGGGTTAACAAGGGTAGTGCTGGGGGTCCACAAGGGTAGTGCTTGGGGTCTAAAAGGGTAGTGCTGGGGGTTAACAAGGGTAGTGTTTGGGGTCCTAAAAGGGTAGTGCTGGGGGTCACAAGGGTAGTCTGGGGGTCCACAAGGGTAGTGCTTGGGGTCTACAAGGGTAGTGCTGGGGGTCCAAAAGGGTGTGCTGGGGGTTCACAAGGGTAGTGCTGGGGGTCCACAAGGGTAGTGCTGGGGGTCACAAGGGTAGTGCTGGGGGTCTACAAGGGTAGTGCTGGGGGTCCACAAGGGTAGTGCTGGGGGTCTACAAGGGTAGTGCTGGGGGTCTACAGGGTAGTGCTGGGGGGTCAACAAGGGTAGTGCTGGGGGTCCACAAGGGTAGTGCTGGGGGTCTACAAGGGTAGTGCTGGGGATCCACAAGGGTAGTGCTGGGGGTCCACAAGGGTAGTGCTGGGGGTCCACAAGGGTAGTGCTGGGGGTCCACAAGGGTAGTGCTGGGGGTCCACAAGGGTAGTGCTGGGGGTCCACAAAGGTAATGCTGGGGTCCACAAAGGTAGTGCTTGGGGGTCTACAAGGGTAGTGCTGGGGATACACAAGGGTAGTGCTGGTGGATCCACAAGGGTAGTGCTGGTGGATTCACAAAGGTAGTGCTGGGGGATCCACAAGGGTAGTGCTAGGGATCCACAACGGTAGTGCTGGGGATCCACAAAGTTGGTGCTGGGGATAAACAAGGGTAATGCTGGGGGATCCACAATGGTAATGCTGGGGGATCCACAAGGGTAGCACTGGGGGATCCACAAGGGTAGTACTGGGGGATCTACAAGGGTAGTGGGTCACGTGGTATGATCCACAAGGGTAGTGGGACTGGAGTGATCCACAAGGGTAGTACTGGGGGGTCCACAGTAGTAGTGCTGGGGGCCGACAAGGGTAGTACTGGGGGCCAACAAGGGTAGTACTGGGGGATCCACAAGGGTAGTTCTGGAAGATCCACAAGGGTAGTGCTGGGGGTCCACAAGGGTAGTCTGGGGGTCCACAAGGGTAAGCTGGGGGTCAACAAGAGTAGTACTGGGATCCACAAGGGTAAGTATGGGGATCACAAGGGTAGTGCTGGGGGTCCACAAGGTTAGTGACTGGGGGTCCACAAGGGTAGTGCTGGGGGTCTACAAGGGTAGTGCTGGGGGCCACAAGGGTATACTGGGGGTCTACAAGGGTAGTGCTGGGGGTCTACAAGGGTAAGCTGGGGGTCTACAAGGGTAGTGCTGGGGGTCTTCAAGGGTAGTGCTGGGGATCCACAAGGGTAGTGCTGGGGGTCTACAAGGGTAGTGCTGGGGGTCACAAGGGTAGTGCTGGGGGTCTACAAGGGTAGTGCTGGGGGTCTACAAGGGTAGTGCTGGGGGTTACAAGGGTAGTGCTGGGGTCTACAAGGGTAGTGACTGGGGGTCCACAAGGGTAGTGCTGGGGGTCCACAGGGTAGTGCTGGGGTGCTACAAGGGTAGTGCTGGGGGTCTACAAGGGTAGTGCTGGGGGTCCACAAGGGTAGATGCTGGGGGTTACACAAGGGTAGTGCTGGGGGTCTACAAGGGTAGTGCTGGGGGTCCACAAGGGTAGTGCTGGGGGGTCCACAAGGGTAGTGCTGGGGGTCTACAAGGGTAGTCTGGGGGTCTACAAGGGTAGTGCTGGGGGTCTACAAGGGTAGTGCTGGGGGTCTACAAGGGTAGTGCTGGGGGTCCACAAGGGTAGTGCTGGGGGTCTACAAGGGTAGTGCTGGGGGACCACAAGGGTAGTACTGGGGGTCTCACAGGGTAGTGCTGGGGGTCACAAGGGTAGTGCTGGGGGTTCAACAATGGTAGTCTGGGGGTCCACAAGGGTAGGCTGGGGGTCTACAAGGGTAGTGCTGGGGGTCCACAAGGGTAGTGCTGGGGGATCCACAAGGGTAGTGCTGGGGGTTCACAAGGGTAGTGCTGGGGTTCACAAGGGTAGTGCTGGGGGTTCACAAGGGTAGTGCTGGGGGTTCACAAGGTAGTGCTGGGGGGTCTACAAGGGTAGTGCTGGGGGTCTACAAGGGTAGTGCTGGGGGTCTCAAGGGTAGTGCTGGGGGTCTACAAGGGTAGTGCTGGGGGTCTACAAGGGTAGTGCTGGGGGTCTCACAAGGGTAGTGCTGGGGTCCACAGTATGCTGGGGCACAAGGGTAGTGCTGGGGGTCACAAGGGTAGTGCTGGGGTCCACAAGGGTAGTGCTGGGGGTCACAAGGGTAGTGCTGGGGTCCACAAGGGTAGTGCTGGGGGTCCACAAGGGTAGTGCTGGGGTCCACAAGGGTAGTGCTGGGGGTTCAAAAGGGTAGTGCTGGGGGTCTTACAAGGGTAGTGCTGGGGGTCACAAGGGTAGTGCTGGGGTCCACAAGGGTAGTGCTGGGGGTCCACAAGGGTAGTGCTGGGGGTCACAAGGGTAGTGCTGGGGGTCTACAAGGTAGTGCTGGGGTCACAAGGGTAGTGCTGGGGGTTCAAAGGGTAGTGCTGGGGGTCTACAAGGGTAGTGCTGGGGGTCCACAATGTGTAGTACTGGAGGCTCACAAGTGTAGTACTGGAGGCTCACAAGTGTAGTACTGGAGGCCCACAAGTGTAGTACTGGGAGCCCACAAGTGCAGTACTGGAGGCCCACAAGTGTAGTACTGGTGGCCCACAAGTGCAGTACTGGGGGCCCACAAGTGTAGTACTGGGGCCCACAAGTGTAGTACTGGGGGCCCACAAGTGTAGTACTGGAGGCCCACAAGTGTAGTACTGGAGGCCCACAAGTGTACTGGAGGCCCACAAGTGTAGTACTGGAGGCCCACAAGTGTAGTACTGGAGGCCCACAAGTGTAGTACTGGAGGCCCACAAGTGTAGTACTGGAGGCCCACAAGTGTAGTACTGGAGGCCCACAGTGTAGTCCCGGAGGCCCAAAGTGTAGTACTGGAGGCCCACAAGTGTAGTCCCGGAGGCCCACAAGTGTAGTACTGGAGGCCCCACAAGTGTAGTACTGGAGGCCCACAAGTGTAGTACGGGGAGGCCACAAGTGTAGTAACTGGAGGCCCACAAGTGTAGTACTGGAGGCCCACAAGTGTAGTACTGGAGGCCCACAAGTGCAGTACTGGAGGCCCACAAGTGCAGTACTGGAGGCCCACAAGTGCAGTACTGGAGGCCCACAAGTGTAGTACTGGAGGCCCACAAGTGTAGTACTGGAGGCCCACAAGTGTAGTACTGGAGGCCCACAAGTGTAGTACTGGAGGCCCACAAATGCAGTACTGGAGGCCCACAAGTGCAGTACTGGAGGCCCACAAGTGCAGTACTGGAGGCCCACAAGTGTAGTACTGGAGGCCCACAAGTGTAGTACTGGAGGCCCACAATGCAGTAGGAGGCACAATGCAGTACTGGAGGCCCACAAGTGTAGTACTGGAGGCCCACAAGTGTAGTACTAGAGGCCCACAAGTGTAGTACTGGAGGCCCACAAGTGTAGTACTGGAGGCCCACAAGTGTAGTACTGGAGGCCCACAAGTGTAGTACTGGAGGCCCACAAGTGTAGTACTGGAGGCCCACAAGTGTAGTACTGGAGGCCCACAAGTGTAGTACTGGGGGCCCACAAGTGTAGTA